GTTTGCTAACAATCCTCACTTTCCGTTACCCGATTCATGTGCTCAACAATCTGGCTGCGATTCCGGTTGCGCCGCAGACCAAGTAGATCAACCTATGGCTCTCCTTCGTCCCCGATCCTCATTCCGTCTGGCGTGCTTCAATGTTCGGACACTCATGCAGAATGGATAGCAAGCCGGTCTAGCGCGCACCCTAGATTCCCTAGACGTTGATGTCTGCTGTCTTTCAGAAACTCGCTTGCAAGATCCCAGCACTGTGCTTACATTGACATCCCTCACTGACCACGAAGCCAGGTATCACCTACGTCTTTCTGGAGATCCAGAAGCAGCCTCAGCGGGTTTGGCTGGTGTAGGTATAGCACTAAGTGACAAGGCCGAGGCGGCAATACTGGACTGGTTCCCGATTAACAGCCGACTATGTGCAGTTCGGCTTCGGGGCTCATGTAGAATCAACAGGCACCGCGAAGAGAGACGCAAGTTGCTTATGATCTCCGTGTACGCTCCAACTGACTGTAGTGGCGACTCGGTCAAGGACGAATTCTACCGGGATCTGCAACAGCTCTTGACTAATGCTAAAAAGTCGGATGTCGTTATCCTTGCTGGGGATTTTAGTGCACGAGTTGGCCGCCTGTTACCATACGAACGCCACCTTTGTGGTCATCACTCGCTCGATGAGAACCGCTCTGATAACGGCGAGAGACTTCTCACATTGTGCGAAGACAACCGTCTGTTTCTTTCGAGCACTAACTTCAGGCGTACGAAGAAGCGTTCCGCAACGTGGCGTTCCCCTTCTTCAGCACAACCGTGGTCTCAAATTGATCACATTGCAATTAGCTTCAAATGGCACGGCAGCGTACTGGGCTGCATGTTTTTTTGGTCAATTTTCGTTGACTCAGATCATGCTCTGGTCTGCGCGAAAATCTGTATGTGCTTTGGAGGATCCCGAAACACGAAGCACCGCAAGATTGATGTAAACAGATTAACTGATTCCTTTGTCCAGGCGAACTATCAGTCTTCACTGGCATATGCACTCAGTTGCAATCCACCGCAAGAAGTGGAACAACACTGGACTTGTATACGGAAAGCGATGATCATTTCCGGACAGTCAAGCTGCGGCGTAGCTCGACGCCCCTTAAAGGCTTGGATCTCTGCTCATTCTCTGGAGCTGTTCGAACGCCGCAAAGATATCCCCGCGGAATCAGATTGCAACGAGCGGCGCCGTTCTGCCAACCGGCTGTTCAAGCAAAGCCTACGCAAGGATCGTGAGACGTTGTGGTCAGAGCGTGGTTTAGAGATGGAGACCGCTGCCCTCTCTGGCAACACTCGCAGGCTTTTCCAACTCATTCGGTCCACAGGCCTCAGGAAGTCTGGTGTCAGTGAGGTCATTTGTGAGGTGGATGAGTCTCCGATCACCAACCAACAGAGGCGTATGGACCGGTGGGCCGAGCACTTTCACTCGCAGTTTAACTGGCCTCCACCATTCATCATTACATACTGTACCCCTTGTTATCCACCCTGGCTCATCTCGCTGAATCCACGCAGCGAAGCGGAAGTCTGCCTCGAGATTCGACGCTTGAAGCGCTTCAAGGCTGCCGGCTCAGACGGACTTCCTCCCGATTTTTCAAGTACGGCGGTGTGGCGATCATTAACCAGCTGACCGCGCTGTTCGCAAAAATTTGGCATGAAGAGAAAGTGCCTTTCTCTTAGGGCGTATCAGTTATTGTCCCGATTTTCAAGGAAGGCGCTCGCACTTCATGTGCAAATCATCGCGGGATTAGTCTTATTTCAGTTGCATCTAATCTGTTGGCATCCATTCTGCTTCGCAGACTATCCCCATTACGTGAATCATACTACCGTGAAGAACAAGCTGGTTTCCGTCCTGGCCGCGGATGCGTGGATCAAATCTTCACGCTCAGCCAGCTCCTCGAACATCGCCACATTTATCACAGACCCACTATCGTTGCATTCCTAGACATACATGCTGCTTTTGACACCGTTAATCGACCTGCTTTATGGCTTTGCTTGCTAAAGAACGGGGTGCCAGAGAAATATACCGCCATTTTACGAGCACTTTACCTTCATACATCCGGCAGAGTGAGGATCTATGGCAAGCTTTCCTCGCAATTCGCTGTCAATAGCGGTGTGCGACAGGACTGCCCTATGTCCCCATTCCTCTTCAACTTCGCAATCGAAGACATTCTGTCGAATGCTCTAGAAGGTTTCCAACATTTTGGCCTAGAACTTCTACCGGGTGAGCGCGCGACCGACTTGCATTATGCTGATTATATCGCCTTACTTGGTGACGATCCTCAGGGTATGCAACTCATTCTGGATCGTTTGGCGGTTGAATCATCTAAGTATGGCATGAGCTTGACTTCAACGAAGTGTAAAGTACTGCTCAAGGATTGGCTTTCACCTGCTCCCGTGCTCACTCTCGAAGATGCACAACTTGAACAGTAGATAGTTTCGTCTACCTTGGGAGCTGTGGTTCTGCTGACGGCACTATCAACAAAGAAGTTTCTCTTCGTATCGCAAAATCTCGATCAGCATTTTTCAATTTTAGACACTTGTGGCGTCGTCGTGACGTCTCATTCTCGCTAAAGGGCCGCATTTACAGTGCATCAGTTCGCTCAGTAATGCTGTATAAGAGCGAGTCCTGGCCGATTCGCGTGAAACATATACGTCGTCTTTCTGCGTTCGGGAACGTTTGCTTAGGGAGGATCGCTCGTGTTTGGTGGCAACGTCGAGTTAATACTAACGATGTTAGACGTCGCATCTTGGGGAATGCAAATTTTCCCTTCAACAAACTGGTTTTGTTGCGCCAGTTAAGATGGCTCGGTCATGTGCTACGCATGGCACCTGAGCGTCTACCGCGTCGCGCTCTATTCGCTCGTCAAGACCTGGCTGGAGGCGACCGTGTGGTGGTCAGCCTTCCACTTGGCGGCAGCACATGAAATCGCTGACGTCGTGTCTAGCCGCTGTTGGATCCGTACATTTTCCAGGATGACGACCCAAAGATGAGGAGTGCCAATGGCTTAGGACTCTTGAAGACATGGCACGAACCCTAGTGCGTAGTACAAAGCTTCGTCACCTGTGTTTAGCAACCAGCCTTCTTGTGCCTCACTGGATTGCATGTTGATTTCGGCACGCGTCTGCTTCCGCTAGCTCCGTCATGTGCTCAGCATGAAGAAGCTCACCGAATGGCTACGTCGGGTTCGTGCGTGTCGATTTCCCAGATGATGGAGTTCTCGGAATCCGTGACGTTGATGTTTGGACAACTTATCGGATTTGGCCATGTGGTCACGAGGTGTCAGTAGCGCTGTTGCCTTCGTCCCCTCGCCTCTGATACTTGACCATTGCATCTGACGGTTTAGACTATAGTACATTTTCTGTTATATTTCATACCATCATTACCTTAGCTAGTATAGCTGCCTATGTTCAGACAACTGGACCCACTGCACATCAATCATCGTTGATGAATCAAGCCGAACTGAACTGGTGGGTTTGGTGACACAATAGTCGTTGAGGTGGTAAATTCATTGCAAGGAGAATGGATTTTGACGACGGTTTACTTGCCCACAATGCACTGTGCCGGAACGTGGGGTACATTTGTGCATTTTGAGCAGAAGTGAATTCCGTATCCCCCATTATGCGAGTCGAACTTTCCAAAATTCCCAACCCTCCCATCCTTGTATTTTGCGGTGCTGTTTTTAGAAACGTGTGTATGGCTGACAGGAAAGTCCTTGGAAACTGTAAATATCATTCACTAAATGTTTCTTCATTAAATCGTTCACATTGAGCTATCAGAAGCGTTACCATCAACTTCACCTCCAGACTATTTGCTTGCGATAACCGAAACAACCTGATGCTCATGCAAAATCTCACAGTTACGTTCTCTTATTTGTCTACATTTGAACTGCAACACAACTTCACACGGCGGCTTCACAACAAGACTTGTTAACTAGTTGTACTAAGAATTAGGACAGCTAACCGATCGAACTTCTTTCTCGTCAAATCCGTTGTCTTATGGAATATCCTACCGGCCACTATCAGGTATTGTGCAAATGCAGAAACATTCCGCACTAAACTTGGGAATTTCCTGGACCAAAACTCGGTAGTGACCATGTTTTGACCGGGGAAATCGCTAAGTAAATTCTTCGAAGATTGACCAAGGAATATATAGTCATTCATTCACTCATTACACGTTAGCTGCAGGTGGAAAACACCTCAGCTATTGTGCCGCAATACAAAAGAAAAAAACAACTGTGGCACACCAGCTGAGTTCCCAGTAACGGATGGACATCGTTCCGGAGAGCTAACAGCCGACTATCGTGCCGCAAGAAGTTATATTATGCCTGGAGGGGACGACTAAGCAGGAAGGGGATGGCGAAAGGAGCTCACAACACAAACGCCATTAGGGTGGGCTCTTCGCCATATCAGCAAGTGTGTCCAGCCAAACGTGTTCCTCGTCCTTAGGACCCCAGCCAGGCAGTCGGGATGCACCAATCGACGCCAGCTTCGAAGTGAGGGTTTTCATTGCTCTTGACCATTTATATTTAGTCAGTGGGGAAAACTGTTGCACGAAACTCAGCACCAACACAATCCATGTATTTCAGAATGCCTTAGTAGGATGTACGCCACTGAATGAATATCTCACTCATGGAAGAACATGATCATAACCGTAGGATGATCTGTCACTATTCTAGAGCCCGCGTCTCACATTCGCGAAATCTGTAACTTGCGTGGCATCAGTCTGCCTGCGAATGTTCCATCTAGTTAATCATTGACAACTTTTCCTGTCTCGCGGCTAGGCTTTCCGGCCAAAGAGTTTGGGCAATGACTCTTTAACCATTCTCCCTCCTATGGTCGGGTGCTATGACAATATTCAAGCCTACCTATAAGTGTTAGTATTGGCGCTTGCTTACATTACCCGCACTCCGACTGACTGAACCCATTCTCCCTGTTCTTCATCAAGCATCCTCCTACTCTTCTCCTCCTATCAGGACCGGGACCAGTTCGCTGCATTGGTCCGTGATGTTGCGGCGCCAGACGTGGGTCGAATGGGAATCGAAATCCTCAGCTTCACCATCAAAGATGTGTACGACCGGGTGGAGTACCTGAACTCACTGGGGCGTGCACAAACCGCAAATGTGAAACGCGACGCTGATATTGGAGTGGCTGAGGCCGAACGAGATGCGAGTATCAAGGTGAGCAGACGTTCTTTTCTTCTTTCTTTCATCCAACGCGTTCGCTTAGTGTTGCACGGCACCGCACGCCCCAGCACCTTAAACCACTACTTCGGAGTGGGACAAAGTCGACATAAAATGGATCTACTTTTATAAATGATACAATATAGTCCACCTACTGTTGTGTGTCACTGTGTTTGATGTATGTTCGTGGAGAAGAGACTAGAATTAATTTGAATGTTCGTTGACTTGACTTAACTTGAATCTCACACGATATGTGCAACTTGGCGCAGTGTAGCGCATAGAATAGATCTATCGACATTAGTTTCGGTGCTATTACTATCGTTTTTCCTAGGTAGTTGATGACTTGAACAAGCAAAGTATGCGCAGGACAAAGTGCGATGGCATTTGCTGTGCGTGCAACGGTCATCACAACAATAATAACAGCACGTTTGATTCACATGATCCGAGAAACTGTCTGAACTGCCAAGAACTGTTTGTCAAATTATATGGTGAAACAAGGAAATGTTTCCTGTAATTGTTTGTCTAACGGACAGAGCCGTTAAATATGCGTCAAATGTGTACAAGTTTATTTGTGCACACGTAAATGATAGATTCGCGACTGAAGGGAGCGCCAAAAGTGCAACGCGTGGAGTCATATCACTGCAGCGCTCACAGACGCCTCCAGGGCGGTTATTTGTTATTGCGCTTAGTTAGCGTTTTCCTGGTGATCTTCCCATATTCCTTCTATCTAGCTGTAGATGGGCTGACGCCAGAGTCAGGCTACTTGCATCGCGTGACCCTCCAAATCAAAAACATAGCATTGTTTGTAGACACTTTTCTGTCACGAGAGCTCATTGGGGGGAGGGGTCATTTTGAAGCATGTTACATGAATGGGCCGTGACCTGGGATCTCATTTAGGATCGTGGTTCACGTTCAACTGAACCTCGTCCAATTCGGTCACCCAGACCTTATTTGAAGCAAATAAGTATTGGTCATTACACGACGACAGCACTGCACTTTAAAATCGGTTTCGATATATAGCAGAGCTGTCACTCGAACTCGGGAAAGAGAATGTTTGCTTTCACGTTGTCTGCTCTCGGTTGATTATGGAATTTCGCTCTACGGCTGAGTACTAAGAAATGATGATAGAACTCCTCATAGCTTTACCCAATCTTGTCATCTATCTTTGAAGCAATACTGGATAGTTGTTTCGCCGTCTCAGAGCTTCTGCATAGATTTACAGTATGGTGCTTTGGGCGTTTGTTTTGAAACTTCTGCTCAGGAATCTCGCTTCTTTATGAGTTCAGGTGATCCTGCGGTATCCTGATCTTCGTGCAGATGACTATACGGTCACAGAAGCTATATCACCTTAGGCGGTTGACTCATGGAAGAGGATACAGCACTGTTGCCACGGCACCTCTACCTTTCCGGAGCCTCTGTCACCTAAGTAGTTTTTTTATTTAAAGGCATAATTTGCGTCAGTGAGTACGACTAGTGTTATAATATCGGTTAGGGACGTGACTGCTTCGTGCTGAGAACATTAGGCGATCACTGAGCGTGTTAGACTGCCGCTGATTGCGAAGTACTGCTCATGTTTGGTGGGTCGACCGAATACGTAATCATGTGAACTTCGTTAGCTAGTGTTTGACAATTGGTCCTTTGGTGAACTCGAATCCCCTTCATTGGATCGGTAATGTGCTGCTCCGCACACCAGCGACTCGACTGATCCAACCTGTGTTGACCTCAAATACATTGAGGGGGTCAGTTAGTGTCATCTTAAGGGAACTTACAGAAATTCACCGAACTACAGTGTCTAGTTCGTTGTTGTAGTCCCCTCGAATGATGTCCTTTGGATCATTCACCTGGATGCCTGAACGCTGTATGATATATGGCACGTCGCCAGTCAGTGGCCATCTTACCTAGCTCTTGATTTTTCAGTCTGATGATTCAGCTTCTCTTAGAATTATTATTCTAATATTTAGTATTATTGTCGTGATTATTTTGGGGTGTCAAGATAACCGTTGAATCAGAGTTGAAAACTGCCTGACTGAACTATAGATGATTCAGACGTTGTGAGATTTCATTGGGCTTTCGGACACGTGGTGTGAACTCCTCATTGCTTTGACCATTAGAGATGGTACAAATACGAAGGTTAGTAAAATGACCGACACTTTCCAATGGCAGATCGGATAGTTGAAACTAGTGGCCTATCAGGCCCATCACCAGGAGGTGACTTCCCATCGTCGCAGCCCTCATGACACCACTGGCGATTGCTTATGGTCGAAGCATTGTTACAAAGAACGGAACAATGGTTTAATGTATATAAAAACTTGTCTAATCAAACAGTCGTCAACAGTACGCCGGTACGCGCGGTACCGACACTTCGATGCCGCGCAACCACCACCAGTCGCACGTGGGCTAAGGACACTGCGACGGTCGCCCGGTCCCTACACAGGCTCGAACGCGCCCCGTCTCTGCTTGCAATGCAGGCTTGTGACCTAGGAGGGCATACCGCAAAATATAGCAAAAGAGTCAGCCAAAAAGTTAGTTCTCAGTGTTGGACTCTATCAAGTACTGGAGTACTGCTGCCACTTGTATCAGCTCTGCCACACCAACCTTACCTTTTGTAGGCGCAAGTGCATAGCGAGTCACGGTTACTGGTACGTATGGAACTGGATACCGTCGCCAGTATACACCGCTTCTTCGTGAATTCTGTTAGCAAAAGCTACAAGTAATCGTCTAATCGATACAAACGTTCGTTTTTCTATCACTTGTGGTGGCTTGTGCTTGCTTCCCTCATTAACCTCTGCTCTATGGGGATTTGCATAGTATAATTGGAAATACATCGCATCTAGACTCAGTCAGATAGCCATCACACGCCTTGATAAGCACTGCAGGGCCGTTTCATTTTTGCCGGAATCTTCAGCAGTGTGCATTCCATCTGGCCCTTGTGAGGCTAGAACCCAACATAATTTCATTGTTGGCTTAAATTTGGTCAGTTTGTCACTTAGCAAGGAGGCCACCTTGTCCTCTGCACGATAGTAATGTGTAGGTTATTGTTTAATGAACGGCGCTATATCACATCCAGTAACTTTGTCACGAGGGTCCTTACAGCTTACCGTAGCTCATCATCGTCAACATTTGAACTGATACTTCGCTGCCGTACAACCACAATGACCTACGAAATGAAGAATAGTAAGACGGAGAGAAGGGGGACTTACCAGAAAAACCTTAATGTTCTAAGCGAGCATTCAGGGTCAAGGCGACTACACTTTGTCAATAACATACCATCACAAACAGTTGGCTGTCGTGCAAAAATAAGGCGGCATCGGCGAGACAGCTTCCTTACGGCTTTCATTGCCCCGCGTCATGATTAGCTATGATCCAGCAGATAACTCAGCACCAAACACACTATAAACAATCTATCCGACTGGCAGACGACAGCAGATGCGCCACTGGTGTCGGTTGCGAGCCATGTCCTGTAAAGTCTCGAGCCAAGCACAAGGCGAGTCACGTGTACTCCAGTCTGGAAGGCGAAACGGACTAACGCCCCCGAGTTTAGTCGTCAGTGACTTCATTTCACGCTGCCAAGTCAACTTTCGTTCACCCGGAACCCTGCGCCACCCTACATCTGACAGACTAAACAAGGCCCACCTCGGTAAGCGGTGACTGGGCATACGTATTACATGCCCAAGCCAACACAACTTATTCACTGCTATCTGTTATCCTAAGGAACTAGCATGGTTATCACTACCTAGAACTCGCCTGCACATATTATCGTTGCGGACACGCTGGTGCCACCCAACACCAGCAATCCTCGCAGACAATGATGATCAAAGACTTGAAGGCACTTGCAATCTTCCAATCGGAGGGTCTTCCCAACGGAGTGGTAGCAGTCAATTTAAAGTTTCTAGCCGCACAAGCGCCACATGGAATGCGTTCTGCTGACGGTTCCCGAAAGAATGAAATGGCCGTACAGTGCTTTTCTGGGTGTGTTATGGCTGTCAGACTGAGTTTAGATGTGATGTGATGCTCTTCATTTCTACCTCGCCGCCTCGATGACACCAATAACGAGGTCCTTTTTTCCCATTCGTTGTACTGCAGCAACGCATTATCTTCATCCCTACTTTCCTTTCAATCGATGTGCCTTACGTATCATTAAGAAAATGAAATTAGCATCAAAATGGAGACACAAATATGAATATGTAATTGCTATTTCACCCCGACTGTAAGGCGTCAGCGATTGAGGGAGCTGGTGAACTCAACGTACCTATACCGGTGCCCGATGTTGGATAAGTCGTCTGCCCGTTAATCCAGAGGTCGCCGGTTCGAATCTGCGTCAACATGGTTGACTTCTCAGTATTCCGCGAACGCCTGATGGTGGTCGTTTGTCAACGGTGCGTCGAACTGGTATACCGGCTTACTGCTGGCGCCTTTTTTTCTTTTTCTTTGTCACGTGATTTACCGCACCTCTCCTGTCCACCAATCCGATTCATTCCTCACATTGTAGGAGGCCGAATGTGATCGGGCGCGGATGGACGTACGCTACGCATCGGATACCCACATCGCTAACTCGACCAGGGATTTCCAGGTGTGCGCTGCCTCTATCGAACAAGAGATCAACACAGCTCGTGCGGAGGCCGAATTGGCCTATCAGCTACAAGTAAGTGCACTGTTTACCTGGTGGACCGCATTTCTGCCGCTTGATGCTCATACATTCATCTACTCGCGGTTTCGTAACCGATGATGTCCAAAGCGGATCGTTTATTGTAGTCACTTTTCTTTAAATGAAGTTTTTGGACCCCATCACCACTCGATTCTTTGGTGTGTTGGACTACTTTGTATGTTGTTGTATCCACTGAGCTTCGGCTTAGTACACTCGCCAGTGGCCTCGGATGATTAATCATCATCAATAAAGCTTCACTGATGCCCGCTTGGTCTCACCTATGTTAACATACCTTCGGTTCTGCACCTGGCCGTTTGTTGAACTCGATCTCATCTGCGCTGACTACACTATCTGTCATTCACGCATACCAAGCGTCTCTAACATGGCGTTTCGTTTTTCATCATAATCTTTGCTTAGGTGACCTGGTAAATGTCATGCAAACACACACTCATTCGGGTTGCTGCTGCACATTGTCCTCTTTGGTGTTGGATCCTTGCTATCGGCCGCCTTATCGAACATGTCGCCTAATTGTTGAGTCTTTTAGCCGAGGATCATAACAACTTCCTCTTTTACGTCCTTTTTCGATCGGTTTATCTATCTTTCAATCTGTCATCCTTATTATTATGGTACCTGAATCTAACACCTCTATTTGCTTTCAACAAAGAAAGGACAATCAGCACTTTGCGAGATAGACTGAATTCATAGAAAGTAGAAGTCACGATTAAACTGCACACAATTATCTGCCTCGACGGGGAATCGAACCCCGGTCCCACGAATTTCCGGTCCGCTGCTCTACCACTGAGCTACCGAGGGCTGACGATTAGGTGCGCAATTTAATACACGACTTCTGCTTGGTGCGCGATGTATTGCCAATGAGCTCACAGTAACTGGCCTGGTGTTGCAGATTGGCTACTCACAAAACATCCTTCTAGCAATCTACCATCGTCCTTTGGACTTCAGAAGGACAGTTACTTCGGTCCATTGGGAAGTGACGTGAGTGAGCCAATCTGCAGCACCAAGACGGTTACTGTGAGCTCATTAGCAATACGTCGTGCATCAAGCAGAAGTCATGTATTAAATTGCGCACCTAATCGGTAGCTCAGTGGTAGAGCAACGGACCGGAAATTCGTGGGACCGGGGTTCGATTCCCCGTCGAGGCGGATTATTGTGTGCAGTTTAATCGTGACTTCTACTTTCTGCAAACATTACACCACTCACAAAACATCCTTCAAGTAGACTGAATTCAGTTTATTTCGTGTATCCTTAATCAGTCACTTACAGCTGGTGCTACACGAATTATAGTTGATGAACAGAAAAGGTATCAGCAATACGGCGGTGCGCACTACCGGTGCTTCGGTGCCGCGCAACCACCAGTCGCGCTTGGCCTAAGAATACTGTGTGGCTCTCCCGGTCCCATACGCAGGCTTGAAACCGCGACCTTAGGATTATAAGTTAGGCCGCGGGCTGACTTGATGAACGGATAGCGAACACCGCAAATTACTAATACACTGCTCGAAGTGACTACGGTACACCTGAAAACGAGTCAATCAACTCACAAAACACCACTTTACTGATATCTATACGTCAACTACAAGACAACCAGGCTCAAGACCCCTGTTGTTTGGATCTTGTGTTGAGCCGTTAACTGCTCGCCGAACTGCAAAATTCGACTACAGTTGTCATGAACTCGAAGTGTCGTTGGGATTGCGTGGGTATCCGTGGTGGTTCAATTGCAATCTTTGCTTTTCTGGTTCGATTGTCTGCTCTCACAATGAGCTTAGGCTTCCGTGCATTATCTCTCAACCTGCATACAACCACTTGCATTTGAAGTCATGTAAGATGCCCATATATCGTCTCCTAGAGAGAAAAACGGAAAGCAGTGAGCTGTACGCAAACAATTGCTTTCAATTACTTCTTTTTCAGGCACATACAGCAATAAGCGTCGGAACACTGTTAGGTTTCATTCGTTAGTACAAAAGGAAAACGAAACAATTAGTCGCTCATTTAAATTGATAAAAGCGCCAAATGGCTGCTCATGTGCATGAAGTCTCCTGATGCTACTGGCTATATTCACATTCTCCACATCCGGTGGTTGGCCATGGCAGACGCAAGCGCTTACATTGCGCCTAAAATTCTGTCACCCACGAAAGCATGAGAACCATATGGAGATTGAAATGCACTTTGAACACATGAACAATCAAACCAGCTACTTAGTTGCCAATTCTGATGGGGATCTTGAGCAGTTTAAATCAACTTTGATCAATGTTTAATTTCACTAAAAAATCTTAGGCGGGCTCGCGCTTCACAGTCGCTCACATCTAGATAGTTTGACATTCGTGCCTGTTCCGTCACATGATTGTGTTGGACACACGCACCGCAGTCGTTCAGAGCTAGACCGCTCACCATTCATGACTACGTCCTTTCATGTGGTTGGCTTATTCATCTTTCGCGTCCCGGTTACTTAGCTTTGTCAGTTTTTCATTACAGCCCTTCCTTCACGGTGGTGTTTTTGCTTCCCGTTCGGAGTGGGTTCAGTTACAGTCAGACATCATAATGGACTGGCGACGGGGAACCATGACGGTCCCTTCGATGGTGCAAAGCAAAGCCCCAAGCGGCTGACAGCCAGTGCTAATCTGTCCAGTGCGGCTTGACACGTTTGTGAGCTGTCACAGATGAGGACGATATCGTCAGCATACTCCAAGTCAAGTAGTCACTCTCCTGGGAGCAGCTTCACACCTTCTAACTCGTGTCCTTTGTACGCGAATTCCATGACTTAGTCGATAGCGAAGTTGAAGAGGAAAGGTGACAGCGGGTATCCTTGTTTCACACCGCTGGGCGACGACAGCTGGCCGTAAGCCCCCACTCTGCCCGAGCTACGTGCGTATAATGCTCGGATAATATTCACATATTTCTCGAACACCTTTCCTAACTAAACAGTCCTAAAGTGCACATCTATCCATTGAATCGAATGTACTTTTGATATCGAGGAGCCCGACAACGGTGGGCCGCCAGTATATGCGACGGTGCTCCAACAGCTGACACAAAGTGAAGATATGGTCAATATAGCCGCAATCTCGATGAATATGGCTTTCACGAGTGCCAGTCGGTATGTGAGTGATTACTTAGGCAAGCATTTTGGTGGCATTGGAGCTCAGACTGATTTCTCTATGCTTGCCTCATTCCAATCGTCAGCCTCCCTTGAAAATTGCGACTATGACGGAGCGGATTTAGTCGGTTGCGACAGTTTCCTGCTCTCACAGTTTCACTAGTAACTCGTGTACATCATCCAGAAGAGCGGTTCCCCCGAATTTGAAGTGGGCTGGAGGAAAATCATCCGGTCCCGCGGCTCTATTTAACTTCAACAGTCCGATCTCACGTTCGATTTGTGATAGAGAGGGCGGATCCAAAAGGACAGCCCAGGGAGCAGTGCTATCAGTGGCCAGTGAGAAATCAGACAATTCCGACCGATTAAATTGTCTTCCAAAGTGCTCAGCCCAACGTTCCAAGCGTTTTGACAAGTTGTGGATAGGCTGTGTGCTCTCGTCACGTATTGTTTCACTGACACCAGATCTCTTGCTACCCGTTTCCCGTGTCAGACGGTATAACTAAGGATGGTTACCAAGGGCAGCGTCCATTTCCCTCTCTGATGCACGATGGGACCACCAGAATTCGCCGTCTCTCTTCAGGCTGACATGGAATTTCGCCCTTAGTTTTCTGGAAGTCTCGTTGTTTTCGCTTCCAGCCAAAATTTGCCTGTGAGCATTGATAAGTTCCAGAGACTGCGAAGAGACCCAATGTCCATTTTGGCGATTAGACTTACCACATGAGGATTTGCCTGCTGCTAGTGAGGTCTGGTGAACATGCGACCACTGCCCATCAATTGTCTCCAGTGAGCGCTTACTCAACTCACATGTCAGGGTACTTTGCTAAGCCTTCAGAACAGCTAACTTCGTCAGTTGGCTGGTCAATGCGCTCACAGCGTCGTTGTGGGCGTCCACCAAAACGCATCCGCACGTCAGCACGTACAAGTGCATGGTCGGTATCCACACTTATGCTCCAAATCGATCGACAGTTCTGGACGCAACCTCTGCAGTGGTAAGTGATCGCAGTGTGATCGATTTGCGTCCAAGGCTGGTTAGGGCTGGTGGGCGCCAAGTCACCCTCCGGTGGGTGCTGTGTCGGAAGTTAGTGCTCGCATGCAATACGCGAGCTTCTTCACAAAAATGAAGTAACCGCTCACCGTTATGATTACGGGAGCCTACACCGTGCTGACCTCCCAAATGCAGTTCATGTGTGAATAATTTTCTAATTTGGATATTCAGATCCCCAGCCAGCGCTACAGTGTCTGTGCTTTTTCTGTGGCGAAGTAGTTCGTTCAGTTGGTAATAAAAGTCGCCTTCTACTGTATCATCGCTAGAGTTTTTTGTGACGTAGGCAGGGATGACGAATACACTGCTGTTAGTTTCCCACGGCTTCGAAGCTTTGAATGAGCCAGCCAATCGGACCCCACACACCCGGCTATTGATTGGGATGCAATCAATTAGAGGATCTTCAGCTCGGGGACTCATGGCAATATCAACACCAGCTTGACCGCTGTTCGTAGCTGCATCGTCACCAGATAGACGCAATGAGAAAGCACTGCTAGTGTCATCTGCAGGGGTCGCAACATGAGCCCAGAGTTGGAGTGTTGCAGGTGGGTCTCCTATAAGCAGCAGATATCGATCGAGAGGGTCTCTAATGTTCGAGCACGTGCTTCCTGCTGACCGATTTGGAGCAGTGTGCTTACATTGAGGCATGCCAATCTGAAGGAGGATCGAGGGCTCCAAATGAAAGTCGATGAACTAGAGTGAACCGCTTGACTGGACACGGCCTTGTCTACTGGGCAAGAATGACGCTCCGCGTTTGTATGCGAGTTGAAAGTAGAAGGCAAACGCCTATCAAAGCAAGGTGGGGGAGGGCCAAAAATTGGGGGGTTGAAAACAAGAGGGATAAAAGTG